TTGTTCTCACTTGTAGAAGGCGCCATCAGCGGTTTCGAATAGATAGCGGCGTCTGCAGCATTAGGAATACCAACATAAAAAATTGTACCTCCGCTAGAGAACGGTTGAACAATCGATGGCTGTGTGACATAACATGAGATAGGGGGGAAGGTGGCTGTTGGAGGATTGAGAGGACCAACCTTAGTGGGTAAAAGCGTTTTGTACACAAAACATGCAGAAGTAATTGGGAAACTAGTTTGTTGAGCAATGGGCATTGAGCTCGTTGGAATCTAAGACTGATTAAAACTACTCTGCATTAAAATGTTGTATCAGTTGGTCAAAGGTAGCTGTTCCTATGGCTCATACATACTTTTTACAATTGGATTTGGCAAGCTGACACTTGTATTTGAAGTGTGAAAGACGTTAACACTCTGTGAGTTTATACACATAGTTTCGAAATAATAAGCATTTGGATGAGAGTTGTGAGTCATCGTCAGATTTCTACTGAAAGGCGGTTCAATACTTGAAAACGACAAGAACTCGGAAGCAGGTTCCAGGTTGAGACTTTGGACTGCTACCTGAGCTGCGAATTGAGTGATCACCCAACTCCAATTGCCAATGCAAATTTCAACCTGCTACGATGAAGCCCACAGATTTCAGTGACGTCTTCCAGATATTCAGCCTCTTCAATAGTTGCTTCTTTTGACGGCTTTCATCTACAACCACATCAAGTACAAATTGACCCTTCATCGACTGAATCTGGATCTCTTGCTTTTTCAAACGAAGCTCAGCCTCTGCCTGACGTTCAACTTCCTCGCGTTTAATTTTTACAAGGGCTGCTCCTCTTCGACGCTCACTTTAAGTCATTGATGCAATCTTAGAACGCTGAGAACGAACGGATTTGCTTGGCGTCGGGGTTGGTGCAATTGCTACCTGGTCCTGTTGAGTTTTAATTTCGATATAATTTTCAGCTAGACCTAATACATCGTCATTTTTTGCAGCGATGGATCCTAGTTAAAACTCAAGTTGATTTATGGTTTCAGCAGCTTTGTTACTGTGCATAGAAAAAAATTTAAGCTTATCATTTTTCTCTATAATTTTTTGTAAGCAATTGCTAGATTTTCCGATGTACGTTGAAATTTTAGCTGGTCTATCTGTCACACTTATATATTCCGTAATTTTGGCATATTAATCAAAAAGACTTGTTTCCAACTCTTTCCTGGCAAGATAAATTTTGCTTAGTTTCTGGTCGAGGTCAAGCTCCATTTTGCAATATTTGTTTTTCGAACTTTTTTTAAATTTTGATTTAAATTTTTTTAGAGTTTTTTAAAATTAATGTAGCGTCGATTGACAGAATCAAACTAAAACCAATTCAAGTAGTCGCGCCCTGTACCGAACGAGAGGATGCTCGCAAGGCCCTTACGACTCTCGTTGCCTACAGAACAGAAGTACAACAAACTACAAGATGTCTAACAAACGTTAAAAATTCTTCGACTGTTGTCATTTGTGAAATCGTATGCTTAACTGCTTTTCTTTTCCTTAAACCTGGTCGACGACTTTTAACTTTTTTGATAAACTCAGACAGATTGAGGAAATAACGTCGAATGTTTCTTAAATTTTTTTTTTTAAAAACGCCGCCGGAGGAATTAATTTAAGCTTACGAATTAATTCTTTGTCGTTAGCTTTTCTTTTGAGATTAAATGTTTGGTCACATCAATGGTTAAAAATCGTGTTTCAACAAAACGTCCATAATTATTTGGGATCTTTTGTCGGTGTACTGATATTTTGTTTTTATTTGATTTTAAAACATCAATTAGACTTTCTGGTGTAAGTGGGTTATCGTTGTTTGATCTATGCTTGCTCGAGGAATTACTTATAACATCGTGCCAAATTACAATGTTTTTCTCTATCACACCTGTTGAGTAATTGGTTAACAGAAATCGAACAGTCTTTTGTCGGTTATTTGCGTTCAAACTAAAGCTTAAGCCTGAAACTGCTTCAAAAGTGTCGTCAAGGCGTTTTTGTAGAATTAATGGTAAGGTATTCACGGAGTAATGGAGAGAACTCGCAGCACTGATGAACACCATTGAGAGTGATAAGCGATACGGTTGTTTTTTTTGGCAAACAGTTAAGGGAGTCTGTTGTTGTAAAGTCGTCACATAGAAATGAAAAAAAAATGTGACGATTTTAACTTTAAGAACCCTTAGCTGAGGGTTTGTAAGGTTCTACTAAGGCTTCGGTTCAGTACTATTTAAAATAAGGCGTACGGTTTCTCGGTTGAACTTAACGACGTTACGGCGAAACGGTGGTAATAACGGTTGTGGTGGTATGCGGCCGAAAACGGGGCGAGCCGAGCAAATTTTTAAAGATTATCCAACCACTGGAGAAAACCGAGGTAGGGATTCACTCAAAAAATTTGCTCGACACAATTGACGGTTAAAACGGTTGTTGAGTGGGCGAAACGAAAACGGTGTTTTCCGGCTTTGCGCTAAATTAGAGCAAATAAAAGTTTTATCAGTGGAAATTTTGGGAAAAGTTGGTATAACTTTTTTTCGAGAATTTTTTTTGAAAAAATTTTTGCAAAAAATTTCGGTAAACTTTCTGGAATTTTTTTTGTCACAAAATTTTTGGGTTTGAGACTCTCCTGGGGTACTAGTGTACTGGGTATAAACGAGTATTAAAGTATCTAATACGGTCTTTATCGGTTTGCAATCAACGAAATCGAGGTTGATTTTATAGCACTGATAATCAAAGAAGTGGCACTTTTTTTGCGTTAAAGAACAAACTAGCACAAGTTAGAGTCTAAAAATTAATTGAAAACACAGGTTCGATCTTTCAAGTTTTTTGCAGGTGGTTCACCGGTCCTCAGACCAAAAGTACACAAAGATTCCACAAAAAAAAACACTTTCGTTCTTGTGTGATGTCGGCCTTCTGGGTTGTCGTCTTTGTTTTGACTAGGGGTGGTTTTCCCCGTTTTTGATTTGAGGTCACACCAAACTGTGGGGGCTCCTTGATTTGCAGTTTTATTGAATGGTCTCAACGGCCATGCTAAAGCGCCCAAACGCCGTGATGCTTCACCGAAGTATAAATTAGTGTATAGTGAATTCCTTGGGTGAAGACAGACTGAAAGTACTGGAAACTTTATTAAATGTCTTTGGAGAGCACAACAAAATCATCAGTAACTTAGTTCTGTCCTAAAGTACCTTAGCAGAATATTGCTTATATGTGGGATTAGAATAAAATACAAAATTCAGCAACTTTTGGGCTTCCATTGAGATTATGAAAGCGATGAGATTCGCTCGATACAAAAACAATTCTGCCTAAAAAAGACTCAGCGACGTTTGGTAGAAGTAGAAGGCTGAGATAACACTGAGACAGATAATTTTTTTCCCGAGTCGCGGCACCAAAATATTCTGCTCAATTTATATAGTAAAAACAAAACAGAATCTGTTTTAAATTCACGAAATATGGTCGAAATATTATGACTACATTAAACGTATCAAGCCAAAATAGTGGGGTTGATCATGCGCTGATCTATGATTTTTTCTATGAAATCAAATTCAAATCACGCGGTTGAATTAATAGAAACTCAATTGCAAACCAATTTTGAACTGATTGAGCATTTTATGTTCTGTCAGGTTCGGCTCAAATACGGTTCTCAAGTAAAACGACTTAAGTGAAAATCGAACCCACGCCGAACTCCCCGGAACGCCTTATGTATACGCTGCGCTTTATAGCTCGTATTGCTAAGGAACTATGCTGATTGAATACTATACTTTGATGCTATGTAGCATTAACAAATACTTTTCAGATGATATGAAAAAATTCAGTCAAAAATGGATAGCTACAAAGTCGGAATAAAAACTAATTTAGATTATCATAATGTAATGAAAAATTGCATAGTAAAGAATCTAATTATGTTAAACACATTTGTTTTTCACATCTTACTTCGTAACATCACGCATTCATGAATAGTTACAGGTAAGACAATAAAGAATGGAAAATTTGAAATGTGGGGTTAAAGTGGAAAAGTGCCAAGTTGCCTAATGGACACTCACAGAACGGGTTTCTTATTTAGAAATTCCTGATTTGAGTGCATTAGAACGACTTTAAACACCTATACAGGAGAAAATTTTGCATTTTTTGGTTAGGTTTTGGCCGCTGTTATCCTGAATGCAAGCATCATTGCACTACCCATATTTTCACTGTTGGGTTTTCTTTGATTTTGTTCAATTTATAAATGTGTAAATAAATCCGACTACTGGGGTCAATTACAATAAAAACCTAGTACAGTTGTTTAGTTGGAAAATGGCCGTGTATCTTGCTCAAATAATTCGAGTGAAAAACAACCCTGCTCGTATATCAAGGCGAGCGCTGAATGTTCCGACTGTCCCTCAATTCTTTTTGAATTTTTTTTGGGAAACGAAAATATTGAAAACCTATGAACTTTGAACAATATCTAAGTGTTAAATTTTGAGTCGTTCGAAATTAATACGACTAATTAGCTAGCCTCAGTTCAATTTGGAACGGTTTTGTTGTGCGGGATTATTCGCCACGCATAAATAATTTGCTTTACTTTATTCTCAGCATTGTGAATAAAGTCTACAAAGCGCGCATTATTTTCTCCAGAACATGGCCAATTTGGCGATTTCAAGACCCCCAAATCTCTACAAAAATGATCGGATGTAAAATATCTTTTAAAATTTGAACTCAGGAAGTCGATCTTCAATGGTGTGGATGTAGTTTTATTAGAGCGCAAAAAAGGCGGCCTTTCAAATGTTGTTTGAAAATCCACCCTGCAACCTAGAGAAAATCTTAGACCCACCCCTGGCGGTGAGAAAGCTATTATAAGAGTTTATACAATTATTTCTGATCTGTTTTCAGCCAGAAACTCAATATCAGTTAGTTTTGATAATCAAACAATGAGCTGATGTTACATATGACATTAACGAAATTATTAAATATGCTTGCTTCATCTTCTGCTTCTGCTACTTGTTTTTTAACAATGCAGGAGAACTAGATTTGATAAAATCTAAAATTTCTCTTCTTTAGCCTATTGAAATTAAATCGGCATGTCATTTTTATCATTGGAGTATTTGAACAGAATCATTTGTCCAGAAGCTCGGAAAAACCTCTAAAAACAGTTAGTAATACTTTTCCATACAATCCTTTTCCTCGTGTAATGATAAAAGCAGGCACGGATCTAGGAATTTCTCGAGGGGGGGGGGGACTTTCAAAAAAAAGTTGAAAATTTTGTCGACCTGTTTTTTATTAGGTCGACCAAATAGATTTTCTGAGCTCTCCTAAATCACTATTAAGACCCCACTTTGACCAAATTTTCTGCGCCGCAGGCAAAATTTTGAAAAAAAAACAGGAAAAAAAGGCAGAATTTTACCAAAATTAATCGGAGATTAAATATCTTTTTTAATTTGAACTCAAGAAGTCAATATCTTCAATGGGGCATATAAAAATGACTGATTTTTTTTTAAATTTCGATCGTCGAAAATTGACTGAATAAAAAAACCACACCAAGCATAGATATTCCTTTCTCTTGGAAAGTCGGAACAAAAACAACGGCAGAACATAAAAGACATCTAAATTTTGCTACATGTGTTCTATCCCGCATCCAAGTTTAGGCGTAAGTAACCGATTATAACGGATTTTTATGATGATTTTTCGACAATTGATTATAATTATCAAATTTAGGCGTTTAAAAGATTTGTAATTGATTATATTCGTGATATTTTTCATGAGATTATAACCTCTTATAATCGATTATAATTGATTGTAGTTCTTACAAACAACCCTTAAAATCAGTTATAATCAACTATAGTTTCTTATTTTGCCAAAGTTTTGTCAACTGAAAACTTATTCGAATTATAACTTACGGGATGAAATTTTTGTGCCAATCAGAAAATCTTCATAAGAGATTTCTTGAAAACTTTGGTTCATCTGAACACAAAATTTTTCCACGAAAAAAAGTTTCAAAGAGATCATTTCATATTATTTGAAAAATTCCCGCGGTAGATGAAAATTAAATCTTCCGAACCACTCATGAAACTAAATCAATTTGCTGTTTTGGTGTTTAAAAAAGCTTAAAATATGCAAAACAAAACAACTTTATGGAGGAAGAAAGAAACAAACCTTATATATTTGAAATGTTTGGAAAACTTTTTAAAAAAATTTCTCATTTTTATTGGGAACCAACGTCTACAAAAAGCACAAAACATAAGCTATTTAGATGCAACTTCGAAGACAAGATGGACAAACAAAAGAGATCACACACAAATTTAATCGATTATAATGGATTTTTGTGTAAAACTAATGAATTAGAAATTTGAATAAAAATAATGGATTGTAATCAATTATAATTGATTATAATTGTAGCTAAAAACATACGAAAAAATAATCGATTTTAACCGATTATAATGGTTTATAGTTAATTATCATTTGATTTTAAAAGGAGAGATTATAATCGATTATTAATTGGTTAAAATCGACTGTTTCTCAATTTTAGTAAGACTGGTACTGAAAACGTAATATATTCGATTATTAACGGTTGAAACTAACGCGAGATGTTTTGTGATCAGGAAACCACTTTTAGAAAGCGGGATAATCATGCAGTTTTTTTTAGCCCTGTGGAGTTTCCATCAACTAATTGTGCCAAATTTAAATTGATAAAAAAAACTTCGGATCAAACACTAGTATATTTGTCAATGTCAAACTTTGTTACGTCATTCAAATTGCATGTTAAGTGACACCGTTTTTTGGTATAGTTTCAGTTTCAATAAGTAAATTGCTTGAATTGAAGGTTAAGGTTATACTTTATTCTGGAGAGACCCGCCATGATACTAAGTGTTCCCGTTATATCACGTCCTATCGATTGGTAAACCGAAAACTGTTTACTTAAGGTGATATGAGATGGCGGACAAAAATCTGTTGTTTCTGATGAGTAAATAACAGATTATCGATAATGAACGCGTTGTTATGCAGATGTGTCGGAAGCTATCCCCTCAGGAATTCGAGGTACTATACTATTTTGATATATCCATTTTTGGTGAGGACCATAAAATTTTCCTAAGGCTCCTTGGGCGCCAATATATACTAAGTTTGAGGGGGAAGCACGCGTCCAATTTTTCCAAAAATGCCTAAAAATGCCCTGTTTTTTTAAAAAGTTTTGCCTGCGGCGCAGAAACATTGGTCAGAATGGGGTCTTTATAGTGATTTAGGAGAGCTCAGAAAATATTTTTGTTCGTTTTTAAAAAAATGTTGAATTGCCATTTTTTGTATTTTGTCTCTCTTGTGTACAAACATCACTGATATCTTGCTTATTAGCCTTGTTCTGTATTCTCGTCAAGTCTGCTTTAGTAGAGAGTGACATAAATTTGACAAAGAGTGTGTTATTTTCTGGAGCGTAGAAATAAAGATAATCACCGGTTTCTATATTATGTAACATAAATCCCAATGCAAAGTTGTTCCATCGCATGAAACTTCCCATCTAGGGTAAAAATAGCTCAATCTTTTTTTGTGCTGTTCATAAATTGCAACTGCCTAGTTAATCATTTTAAATATTTTATTAGTTGACTTCAAAATGCCCCGTCCAGTATTTTTCGATATATTGCCATCGGGTCATCTTCAGAGTCTTCCAATGCTCGTTTGTTTAATATTTTACTGTTCAAATTTATACTTTTGACTTTAACTATCGTAACAGCAACAATTTTCTACTACAGAGACTCAACATTTCGGTGCTTCTGAACTCCTCCTTGAATAACCCTGGGTCTCTCTTATCATGTTTTTTTGAGTTTGGAGAAGCAAGTACGAGTGAAAAAATAAAATGTTTGTGGCACCTTGTCTGAAATCGTCTCGACAACCGTTGTTCCGCTTTTCAACTCACTCTGCTCGCTTGCTGGGGAGGATACATTCATACAAAACTTCTTCTGCAAAACCAAACAGAGAGAATCAGTATCCATTTCGAGTTCTTCAATTTTTGTTGACATCGCAAAAGTTTTTGAAAAACTTATAATACAGCTCCGTTTGGCATACTGTACTATAAAGAATCCTAATAGAAAACGTTCACAATGATATATACTAGATTTAACAAATTTCACTTCATACAAGTCGTTAGCTACAATATAGAGTCTCGTGAAAAACTGGTTATTGATAGCTTATGTGTTTTTTCGTCATCAAGAAGTTTTGTCATTGTATGTTTTGATCTATCCATTATTTGATAACCATAGGAAGTTTTTCCTAGCAGTTTCAATGTTTGGGCTACCACACCAGATAAGAGATTTTCATTATCAACTCGCCTTGAATCAACAACAGATTGAACGAAACTGTTGAAAACTTTACGCAAAATGTACAAATTGATGAAGTTTTGTACAATTTAGTTTAAGATCGAAACCAAGTAAAAGTTGAAAAGTGGTGTTTTAGGAGTTTCTTTGGTTAAATTGACTCTCGGTATCAAGATTGGTTGCGGTTGTTTTAACAAATTGTTTTCTTTCGCATATGTCTTCATATTTTCCCAATATCGTTCCAACTGACATCAATATTTTTGAAAATAGGCGGGAAATTGAAAAAATTCGCTTTTAGCTCATCTAAACACTCAGATCGCATTTCACGTAGCCGAACTTTCTTTCATCTCAAAAGTTTTCCGGTAGTGAAATGGAAGAAGGAGTTCTTTTGAAGGGAAATTTTGCTTTAACGTAATTTTTAAAGTATACGTTATTTTTAAATTGATCCCATCGACTACACTCCCAATATACTTCTATGGAGTTTTTTTTTCTCGAATGTACTTTTTTGAAGCTCGTTCCTTTCTGTTTTTTTTGTTCCTCGTTTGATAACATAATCAATAAGTGTAGGTCTAGCTTCCTGACAAGGACAAAATTGAAAATAACAACCATTGCTTCAATAACCGTCTTACAATGGTCGCAAAAACCATCAACACTGAAGCAACCAAATTATTTTTGGTTCCCTTAGTGTAGTATTTCTCAATTATACATTCAGGTGTGGTTGCTCGAAAAAAGAAATGAATGTCTTTTCAAACGTTCGAACTCGATTTTGCCATGCGTTGAGTTTTTGTGTTTCCTCATTGTAGTCCCATCTTGTATATACGCCAGTTGGCATATCCCGACACATAGAATAAGGATAGAGTTGACAGGCATCAATCCAAACGTTTGATTTACACAAGTTTTTAGGGTAAAGTTTATAGTCAATTGACTTGTGTGGACAAGCATCGCTAAATTTGGCTGTATGCTGCCGAGTTTTAACATAACATTCCCTTTATCATGATTAATTTTGGTCGTTTTCTTCATAGCTTCGAGGGTAGGAACTATTTCTTTGTTGTTATACCACTGTACTGTTTTCTGCTGTTTACCGATACTTCTCCGAGGGAATTCAACCACAAAAATTCTATCTTCAATGTCGACATCGTCTGTAAAGATAATTTTATCTACTACATCTTCAGCTTTTGGCAGATTATTCATCAAAACTCCACGAACCTATTTTCGATCCCAAACTGATTTTTCCGGAAAATCACTGGAGGTCTTGAAGATGGATGTTTCAAGATTTATTGTTCCATGTAAATGAACAGCAAGCGCTCGAAACGAGCACAAGTTTTCATCGTACGGTTGCTGCGTGCGCACATACGAAATCGAACAGTTTACTTGATGGTTTCACAGAAGCGGTTCGGGAATCACAGAATCTGGACACCCCATCGGTAGTTTTTTGAATAAGGATGCACAAGTGGTCACATTTGTGGCCAACTTGAATTGCCATTTTGTATTTTGTCTCTCTTATGTACAAATTCCATTGATAGCTTGCTATTAACCTTGTTTTGTATGGTCGTCAAGTCTGCTTCAGTATAGAGCAGCATATTTTTTTTTCATGATTATAGAATTAACGAAATTCATCGGTTTGTATATTACGTAACAAAAATCTCAGGGAAAAATTGAGTTTTGCTGCGCAATCAAGTTTTTTCAAAGACTTGATCTAGTTTTTCATTAACTAGACTAGGATCTCTTTCTAAAAGTTGATAGTTGAATAGCTTGTGGCGTCCATTTTCTATCTCATTATCCTTTAAGAAGTGTTGACAGGCATTCAACTCATCTCTTAGCTGATCACTATTCTCGTCGGTTTGCGAGATTT